AACTTAGGTAGATCCTGGAACTGACCTCGAACCTATGACAAGATAGGTTATAGGTTCCAACATATGCATGATAGATTCTAAGTTCCAAAAAAATAGGAACCTGTTCAACGGGTAAGTTTCAAGTTTCAGGTGGATCCTTTAAAGAACCTGGAACCGCTCACTCCTACTTTTAAAAAGTAATGGTGTTGCCGGTTAGTTTTATAGGTGAAAGAATAAAAATTTGGACACTATATGAGAAAGTCATTCATTAATGTTTTCTGTTTTCATTTTCCTACTTTCTTGAAAAAAGGTGTGGTTCATGAAATCTGAAAATCTCAACTGAAGAGAAAATTCCAAAAACATATTTGGTTGGGTTTTTCAAATTTTACAAAAAATGTGAAAGATTATAAAAACACGTTTGGTTGGATGACCAACATGTTTCCATTTTCTTTTTATCTCTTTTCTTTATTTTTTAATGTTATCCACCTACTTCAAGATTGCATATTATTTATAAAAATCCATCAGACGAACCACGTGACATCATCATATCAATTTTATCTTTTTGGACCTACACAATAACGTACTTGTCCCCATTTTTTATATCTGCCAAGCTTCAAGGGTTATTTGCCTATGAGTTGTTTAATTCAATCATTATCGTCAGCTATACCCGATTGTTTCTCAAGGTCACAATCGTATTCAAGAATCTCATATTTATATATATTTCTTTACCCACTTTCTATTCTTTCTTATTTACATGAAGCAAGAAATTTGAGTAATTTATGTGAATTAATAATGATTTTTATGATATAGACGACTCATGGAAATGCAGCTTTATGGCCACCAATATATGAATATTGCGTATTAACAAATATGACTTGACATGGTCAATGATGAGTTGGAGTGCAAAATTTGGAGGGTGAGACATGGAACTTGATAGAGAAGAATCACCCACAATTGAATTGGAAATTAAATAGTTTCAAAAGAAAATGTCAAGGTACAATGTATCGTTCTCTGGAGTTGGGTGGGATTGTTGCAAGATCATCTAGAAGTGCGAAGATATTTCAAAAATAAGAGATGCAAATAATTATGAAATCTTTATGGGTAGCTAAGCCTTAGACACTCGGACACCATGAATTTTTTACATTTTTACTACGTGCGCATGGAACAGACGTTGCGTGAGTGCAAGAAATTGACATTTGAATAATAATCACTATGTTAGAAAAAAAATATTTGAATCATTAAAAAATGGAAAGAAATTGTTGATGAAAATGCACTGTACAAAGAAATTATTTAAACAATTATGGAAAGATAATAATATTTGAGATTTGAAATCTTTTTAGGAAGGTTGTTTTAGGATAGAATAATACCCACATTTTAATCTTGAAAGATTTTATATATAGAATAACATTATAAATTTTACAAGCTCTTCCATGGATACATGTTTGTACCATAAGTAATTAAGGATATTTTGAGGAAAAAATACGACTGAAATCCCTTAAAAGAAGGAGATTCTCTTTACTTTATATAACAGGAATAATGTATGAATGCTCATAATTATTTCAATATTTTTTTGTAAACTTAATTTTTTATAATAATTAATCAACTAAATGAATAGAATCACCATCTTCATACAAACATGCACTATGAGAACAAATAACAGAAGTCATCACTAGTTTAGGATAGCTCATCTCTTCATCCACCCTTGTAATTTCAGCCATAACACTTGTTTCTGTGCGTGTGTCTATATATACATGTATATTGAATTGTTAAAATTTTAAGTATCATTGTTATGGCCGCAAATTTCAGCAAATTATGATTTTTACAATATGTTATATGTGGTCATATAGTATAAGATCTATTTAATTGACTCATTAACGACCAAATTGATTGGCAACCGATTGATTCAGACTCATTAACGACCAAATTTAATTGACTCATCTATTTGATTGGTATCATTCGTTTGCTCAGATTAAAAATGAGCTTAGGTGATACTTACTGCCTACTGGACAACGAAGGTGCAATATCGTGAAGCCCGCACAGAAGAGATCCAAGAAACATAACCAAACTATATATTAATTTGCTCAATCATCGAGCATATATGTCAAGCTTTTACTGTTGAATTCTACGATTATAGAATGATTTTTGCTTTCACTCTTTCCCCCAAAGTAAAAAGTTATGTTTGGTAGTCGGGATAAAATTCAAAATAGGATAAATTTTATCATATCTTGTGTTTGATGTCTGCCCAAGACAAGATAAAGTCAAATATATGAGGGATATAGCCCAGATAAAATTATCCCATGGGGAAGGTGAGATAAAGGTAAATAGGATTTCTAATATCCATAATAAAAAAAATTATTTTTCTCTAATAAGAAACTTGTTAAATTATTAAAATTAAAATAATATATGAAAATAAATAATATTATAATTTTAATATAAAAAATCAAAATAACAATAATTTCGTTTTTATTTATTCTTTTTTTAATTTATGCATTAAAAAATTTTCTATCTTATGATATAAATTTCATATATATAAATAAATATATTTAGTATTTATATTTATTACATATTTTAGGTATATTGGTATATTTTACTATTTAATAAATTTTTATTAGAGAATGATGGAAGGGGAAAAAAGAATTAAAAAAGAGAGGGAAAAGTAATAAAAAAAATAGGCAAAAAAATTAAGTAAGTGCAGTGAGAGATTTTATCATCTCAGTTTGTGCAATTTTTAGGTTCATTTACACTGATATGATGTTCATAACAAATAATAGACATAATAAGATGTGAAAATATCCGGTTTTATTACTACAATTTACCAAACAATAGATAGGATATAGCAAATCCCTTAGATTTCGTATCCTATCATATCCTAACTAGAAATCCAGACGACCAAACGCAGCCAAAGAGAAAGCAGATGCCCCAGATAAGATTATGTAATGATCATTGATCACCCTTTTTCAAGTCTCAAGCCTTTCAGTTAACTGTATGAAGCAACGTGTCCTTCTATTCAACAAATCATTCGAAGCGATAAATACGAGAGAGAATTACCAATTTAGTCCTAAACCTTTCAATTGTGCCAATTTAGTTATAAACTTTTTCACGTTTACCAATGTAGTCCATCTAGTCAATTTTGGCCGAAAAACATTGACGTGGATGTTAGCCATCCTACATGTGACATAAACAAAATTTTTTAATATTTTAATATTTTTTGAATTTTTATATGTTATTTTTTTTTATCTCTTTTCGTTTCCTCCACCATTTGCTAGGCCTCAAGAATGGCCGACAAGGGTTGTATTCACTGGGATTTGGCGAGAGGGGACCTCACCGATAGTTGCCTTTGGTTGGTCACTGGCAATCGTCGAGGTCTAGCCACCGGCAGAAGAAGAAGAAAAAAAACAAAAAGAAGGAAAATAAAATAAAAATTACTAAAATTTTCAAAAATATTAATAAATTTTGTTCATGTCGTGTCAACTGTGCCACATAAAACTGTTGGTATCCACGTCAATGATTTCCCGCCAAAATTGGGCAGATAGATTAAATTAGCAAAACATGAAAATGTTTATGACTTAATTGACACAATTAAAATCTTAAGACTAAATTGACAGAAGTGCAATAGGTATATGACTTTTTTGGTAATTTTCCCTTAATACGAGTTACTTTTATCGAAAAAAAGATTGGGGAGAGTTCATTAGCGCAATTATCCCTCTCACCCTCCTGTAACTACTCAGTCCATCTATAGATATATAAGATGATCACATTAGCCCAACCATTGTGCTAATAGTGAAGGAATCTCTCTACAAATGTAGAAAATTGCTCAAGTCACAAATTGACCAAAGGTTTTGTCACGTCCCAAAGTCCTACATCGAACAGGAGAAATCTTGTGGAATGATTCATAAGTAAAACATCTACTCCCAAATGATCACCTCCTTATATGGTTATTCAGAGTACTCCTTTTGCAGGCTTGGCTTGGTGGCCATGGCGCTGAGAGAGAGAGAAAGGGGGGCATCTAAGATATATCAACAAACTCAAATTTTACTGATTTAGAAGTGCTAATACAATTGGAGAGAATCCAAGATTTTTATAGGATGGCCAAACTTGATGACCAAGTAAATTTTTAAAGGGAAACTAGGAATTATGCTACCACTAAACATATTTGTATTTTATATTATGGGTAACAATTTCTAAATAAAGATAACAATCCTAACCATATCTGATATAGAAAAATAGCAGTCCTAATCAAATCTCCTATAAGAATAAAATAAGATCATAGTTAAATCTTCTTCTTCTTCTTCTTCTTGGCAAGATCAATATCCCGTCCTACAGCAGTCTTCTCTACTAGAGAAAAAACTCGACCCCGAGTTAATATATGGTAATCTCGAAGGAATGTCTTGTCGTCTGGCATCATCTCTCACCATAAGAAACTCGACTCTGATAAACTTTGCATAGTATACCATCCTTGCTTCTGAAATGACACACCCTCGAATTTCATTGGTCGTCTCGGCTCGTACAATATGATATCGATGCCAACAACCAGGGACTAGTTGCCAAAGTTTGATTAGTGCATTTTGCTGCAGATGTCAGGTTAGACAGAGGAGGTTTCTTTCTGGGCAGTGCTGGACTTGGGCAGTTCAGATGTATCAATAATACATTTGTTTTAGGAATCCTTACCAAATCGTGTTGTCTCATCCGGACCAAGTCCATTTCTTTTCTTAACGAGAGCACCACATGTTGTGTTCACTCTCAACTGCAGGTGATGACTCCTGAAGTATATTAGGCACTTTCAATGCCAGTTACAATCATCAGTTGCATAGCAATCAAGTGTTAGGACTGATTAAGGAATGAATTAATGGTTATAACTGGTCTGAGAGTATCTGCAATAGTCACTCCACAGGATGGAGAACCTAAAAGTAGTTCAGGGCTGATCAGGTTCGTTCTCCTACAGCTTTCTCGCCTCCAATGAGTATGCAAATCGCAGTCCGTGATTCTCAGAAAACAAAAGGAAAATAAGAACACTGAAAGGATTTGGAAGAACATCTGAAGACGTGAGATTACTCATAACCTGACCAGAACCTTACATTACACGAAAATTATTACCTCAGCATGACATGGGCTTGTCCGCGTTATTCTACGGCGACATGGTCGCCTAGTAGTACAAGATGAAGAGAAGGCACAACGAAGTGTCCGCTGAGACTAACATTACTTTAAGAAAACAAAGCCCCTTACGAGTACAACAGGATCACTTACGAAGATAGCAAATTCCAACAGCCACACACGGGGAAGAAAACAGGGTCCAGCAAAAGCAGGAGCTTAGTCCTTCACTCTATGCCCATTGCTTTCTTGCGCTCCAAGGCGAAGCCATACACCCTTTGAGGGTCAGGGAGAGATTTGGACACGCTCTCCTTCTCCATGCACCTCTTGGCCCATGCGACGAGCTTGGGACACTCCGCTTCGATGCTGAAGTTCCCACATGTCTCGTAGGAGTAGAACCAGCTGTAGTAGCCGATGATTGATATGTCCAAGAACCCGAACTTCTTGCCCCCAAAGAAAGGCTCGTCTCCGAGCTCACTTTCTACCAGTTTCAGGCTTTCAATGAATTCCTTCTTCCCTGCCTCCTGTTCTTCCCCCTTCGTCATCCACACCTTCCTCCCAAGATTATAGAACTGCAAAATTTGTTGATCAGTATGATTTATTTCTTCATGGTATCAGATCAGGAAGAATCAATAGAAACATGCAAGCTGACTATTAGCATTAGCACTTCTTGCTTCAACACAACTTATGCGACATCATCAACTTCCAACATGTGTCAGATTTATTACAGGAGTTCGGCTGTCCAACCGTTTCTAGTCCATGTAGAGACTGACATTTTGCTTACAGTTCGTATTTGTTAATTTCAGTACATGTTAAATGAAAAGCCATACAAAGATTATATGATGCTGAATTGATGATGACGATTTAAGCACCGAGCCATATGCGAGATCAGATGATCTTTTTTCGCATTCAGCATGAGATCTATATAACTAAAAATGGTTGCTCCATAAAAAATGCACGTACATGTAGATCGAGTAATCATTAATGAATCTACACAGTAAAAACAGGAACCGATACCTTCTTGTCGACGAAATCAGCCCAGAATCTCGCTCGGGCTCGCTTGTAAGGATCAGACGGCAAGAGAGGGGCCTTGTGGTGCCAAGTCTCATCGATGTACTCCACAATGATGAGGGACTCGCACACGGGCTTGCTGTTGTGGATGAGGACAGGGATTTTCTTGTGGACCGGGTTCATCCGAAGGAGGAGGTCGCTCTTGTTCCACAGGTCCTCGTCCTTGTACTCGTACTCGACGCCTTTCTCGGCCAGCGCTATTTGGCACCTCATTCCGAACATGCTGGGCCAGAAGTCCAGCAGGGTCACTTGATCGGCCATTGCCTTCAAAGTCGCGTGTGTGTGACCTTTGAGAATATGGAAGCGTTAAGGAATGAATAGTAGCGGCTGTTGAGCAAGCACTCCACACAGGAGCTCTTGAGTACTATTTGTAAACAAAACAAAAGAGTTGCGTCAAAACTCGAAAGGTATTGGTGCGCTGTTTTGCTGACTTTCTCGCGGTCACAGAAGGCGTTTACGACACGTCGTTTCTCAGCATACTTCCACAAGACTTCATTCATTATCTTATTGAAACTATAGGAAGTATTCAGTGCGAATAATAACTGGTCTCTGAATTGTTTGGGTGAATGGTTTCATGGAGCAACCCACGACAATCCCTTTGAATGATCGATTCTATCTTCTTAGGACTTCACCATCGCCATGTTAATTACCATTTTACAATCATAAGAACTCGGTGCTGAGGTTGGGTTTAACTTTTAAATTTGCGAAAGATAGTAAGCGAGGTGTGGCTCGTCTAGGTGCTGCATCGTTGACTCCTAAAATTTTTTACCAAAGATCTTTGGTGAATTTCATCAAAATTGGGGATCGAATCTGCACGACAATGACCGAATTTGATCCCCAAACAAAAATATTGATATTGTATAAATCTTGTATTCCCATTCTTTACTGCATCCCTCAGCATTTAGAGATTATGGACTTTTTTTTTTTTTAGTGAAAGCGTGTCCGCATTGAATAAAGAAACATAGGCAAGCCTGTGAATTTCATTTAAACTGGCCCGATATGCGATCTGACCTTGAATTGAGGCTCTAAACTCATTTCAACTTTCAGTATTAAGCCCACGCGTGCCGGCCCCTCCAGCAATTCGGCCGTCCCCTCTCTTTCTCTTGCTTGGCTGAAATTCACAGGTGATAGACGTGTGCCATTCCAAAATAGGAAATAAAATTATTGAGGAAAACTCCTATTGATTTTGAAGTTGACAAAACCTTCCATGTTATTGTAAATCTGATACTTATTCTGAACTATTTTATTCCAGGTATGTATATATATTCTGGAAACTCAAAAGGAAGTTTTCAGACTTTACAAGCTGGCAAAATAAGAAGTTGAAGACCCACATAATCTTAGTTCTGAGATGAAGACATAGAAGTTATTCAGACACAGAATTTCTTCAGACGCAGAAGTTATTCAGACGCAGAATTTCTTCAGACTCAGAATTTCTTCAGACGTAGAACTCAGAACGAAACATAACAGCTAGTGATCTGGTATGGATTTCACAGAAGGAAAGTTTTGATTGTTTCAATCTAAGGCTATAATTGATTGACAATCAAATACTATGACAAGTGTGCATTACAACGGATAAAGCTCTACTTATGGAAACCAAGATTCTGATTGTATGGGCGACCAGAATCAGCGGGATTCAGAATCTGTCATCCAACGGCTACTCAATCCTTTCTATACAAATCTGTCCAAGGTGAAGATTGGAAGATGATCCTCTGAAAGCTGTCCAACGGCTAGTTTGGAAGTAGAGGAGTATTTAAGGAGATCAACGAGCAGCAGAAGAAAGTACAGAATCAAGAATCAACAAGTCCAAAAGCTGAGCATATTCCGATCATTTCTCTTGTCTTTCTGAGCCAAAAATTAAGATCTTGAGGGACTTTTTGTAAGAGTGATTGTGTGAGATAGAGAGTCCTATCATACACAAGAGTGCTGTCACTCAGAAGTTGTAATTCCTCTTAATTACATAGTGAAATCCAGCCAGTAGGCTGTCAGCGTGGGAGAGTGGACGTAGGCTTGCTATAAGCCGAACCACTTGTGTGCAGTTTTTCTATCCATTATCTCTTACTTTACACACTGCACATCAAGAGCACTGTCTATATAAAATGTTTTGAATCTGAATTTTATTCAGACTCAACTGTGATCTTTCATTTCCACGTAAATTGTTAAAAATTGTTTAAGATCACCTATTCACCCCCCTCTAGGTGATCCTTGCTAGCTACATCAAAAATAACACAAGATGAGGAAACAAACAAGGAAAAATTCGGATTGTACGTTACCACGCACGTGACATATTGTCGACGACTACATAGATTGATATTAGTTGATCGACATTGATACACATCGATAGCACATATACAGTTGTCAATGCACAACGATAGTCTTCTAACAAATATCAATATGGATACTGGCTATGGGTAAATTGCAAAAAGCCATCTTAGTTCTTCAAAAGCATGAGAAGCCCAAAAATATAGTTACCAATTAGAGATAAACTGGCAAATGTTCATGAAGGAGCATAGAAGCACGACTGCAAAGTTCAAAATCAGCAAAACAGTTGAGATCGAGGAGAAATTGGCGTACACTTTTTGAGGCAACAATTGCTACTCGGGAAGAAGATCGTGGGATAGTCATTACTTGAACCGCAGGCAACAACCGTCTAAAGTGAAGTCATGGAGTAGTGGATACACAGTCTAGTAAAAGCAATCCCTCGGGAGCAGAATCATAACATCATGAAAAGCATGGGCATGAAATTCTCGGAGATGGAGGAACGTGGAAGCATAGAAACTGCTCAGGTAAATGCAACTGTTGGGAACCGCCAGGAAGTAATTACCACTAGATCATTATATATTATCAGTCGTCTACTAGAAGGCCCACTGCGCATAAATCAAACAAATTTACTATCTTTTTAGTACGTTATGTTACTGCACTACACTTCATTTTCATAGCTGTAGTTTCCGATTCGCATCGTTCATTAAATTTCGGCGTGTAATCTCTATCCTAGGTGCTGTGTCATCAATTAAATTCCGACATAATATCTTTGGTGTTCTCAATCTGTGTCGTCGATTGAATTCCGGCATATTTTGTTTACATTTGATTACAAGCTTGAGTCTATAGATTCAGAATTGTGTCATCGATTGAATTCCGACACAATTTGCATACGTACAATCCCATTCTGTATAAAGTTGTCAATTCCCTCATTCGCTTGGAAATTTCATGTCCGAAGTCAGCGCATATATTAAAAGCTGAAAAACGACTTTCGGTAAAAGATATTTCGTTACGGGAGAAATTCCAATCAAACGGGTGGAAAAACAAATTAGGAAGAAGAAAGTGAAGATTCATGGTTGTACAGAGGCACTCGATCAGTTTGAAAAGCAAAGAGGGATCGAGCGCAAATGAGGCACAAACACAGTGAGAAGCCGAGAAGAAAATAGGGAATGGAGAGCCGAATGTGAAGGCGGATGTCGACCAAAAGACGGAGGAACATTTGGCTTCACAGGCTGAATTCTTGGCTGAACATCCCGCTTTCGCCGTTGTGCTGCTAGCCGGAGTTTGCCAATTGAATTTAAACTTTTGCTTCCAATCTTTTGAATAATTCAATTGCATGAGCCTACCAAGTATCTATCCCCGAAGTGCGCTTCCTACCCCGAACCGAGAACACGGCATGATTCGTCGTCGAGCGCAATGCCATCCGAGATAAAATCCTCATGTTTGAGTGCAATTCATCGTTCTGGTTAATGTGTTTGCATGAAGTTGATATGAACGCTTTTCTTGTCCATTAAGAATCCCCTAACACGTTATTTGTTTCGACGCGGATGCGATCAGTTTTAATCTGATTGAGTCTAATCCATTTGTTTGTATGCTTTGATTCATGTTGGCATACATATTCTTAGCGATTATGTCAATAATCGGTTTAGAGTGGTGGGTCATCGAGGTCCATTCCTGGCCGTTTTAAGCCTGCAAACGGGCTGGACGTCCTTGGTCTGAACAATGGCTATCCACCCTACTTTTTAACAGGAATTGTCGTAGAAATAAGGGAAAATGACACAAATAGTCCATGAACGTTGACCCAATGTGTAATTTGATCCCTGAACTTTTAATTTGTTCAATATAGTCCCTGAACTTTAACCTAATGTTCAATTTGGTCCATGAACTTTTGATTTGCTCAATGTGGTTCCTGAACTTTTAATATGTGTTCAATTTAGTCCTTGAACTATTTGAAAATGTTCAATATAGTCCTTCCATTAATTCAAGTGCAGGGACTATATTGAACATTTTCATATAGTTCAGGGACTAAATTGAACACATATTAAAAGTTCAGGAACCACATTGAATAAATTAAAAGTTCAGGGACCAAATTGAACATTATGTTAAAGTTCAGGGATTATATTGAATAAATTAAAAGTTCAGGGATCAAATTGTACATTAAGTCAAAGTTCATGGACTATTTGTGTCATTATCCCTAGAAATAACACAAACAAATAATCCACACATGCTTAAAAAACATAATAGAAAGAAAACACTAAAAAATTTATTATCGAAAACCACCCAAACTTAGGTCACATCTCCTCGCAAAGGCACCATAAGACTTCACTAGATTTTGAAGAAAATAGAAATATAATAATAATTTTCTCGAGAAATCAAGGCACAAAAAGATTTGAAAACACTCACGAAGAAAAATCACTTTTTCTTCCTTTTGGCCATCACATCCTTTCTTTTTCTTTTCTCTTTGTTTTCTTCTCAGCCATTCATAGCTACTACCCGAGTTGATATATAAAATGTAGCTTTTAACCTAAAAGCAAAAAAAAAAATTAAAAAAAAAAGCCCTAATAAACAATCTGGGCTTCACCCGCCAACAATCTCCTACTTAAAGACTAATACACCCGTGCATAAAACAACTTTGCATCCATGTGCTTCACAAGCTAGTAACCGAACTTGTGCTTGTGCGATACTCCTCATCAATTAACATAGAGTAATGCCAATGGTAGTAGTATAGAAATTATGCTTATCTCTATCTACTACTTGGGTAAACATGTCAATCGGATTCTTTGAGCCATCAATCTTCTGTAACTTTAACTAATTATCTTTCAATGCTGACTTGATAAAATGATATCGCATCTTGATATGTCTAGTCCTTAAGGGATAAGCTGCATTCTTTGCTAAGTTCAATGCACTTTAACTATCACTCCACAATGTGCTCACTAGCTGTTTTCGATATAACTCCTAATAATCTTGTAACCACATAATTTCCTTGGAGGTTTCTGTGATCGTCATGTACTCCACTTCTGTCGTCGATAAGGCAACTACTTTCTCTAATTGAGATACCCTTGCAACCATAAAGACATATCTAGTGGTTCTCTTACCACTATCTTAA